GAGGTTACTCAGTTTGGTGAGTAGAGGAAGGATGTGAAGGAATTAAGATTCACTGGGGATCTGAAAGGGTAGGGTAATGGTGGGCATGCATCAACAATGATTAATTTTTTAAAACAAAATCTGTAGGAATAATCATGAAACACCATGTGAATAGACGATTGTGTAAAACACAATGTATAAAAATGAAACACAATATATGAACATTTTATATGAATTTTGTACACAAACCTATGTATAGTTATATAAGATCAGTTGAATTTCTTTACAGTAATAAAGAGATCTCTGAAAAAGGAAATAAGGAAGACAAAGGCATTTATAATAGTCATCAATATCACTTCTTGGCCATTTGGCTAAGATCAAGTGTATAACAGCCACCAAAAAAAAAAAAAGATAAATTTTTAAGAATAAATCTAAACAGAGATCTAGGAAGACTTATTAAAAAAGCATACAAAACAGTACTACAAGAAACCAAAGGAGACCTACATAAATGGAGGAATGTATCCTGCTTATAGACTGGAAAATTTAACATTGTGAAAATTGTCAATACTATCAAAAGTGACCTACAGATACAATGCAATCTCTGTACAGAATCTGTTATCATTCTTCAAAGAGATGGGGAGTATACTCAACCAACTTTATATCAAAAGGGGAAAAAGTTGTATGACATAAGGATGAGAAGAAAATTCTTGAAGAAGGAAAAACAATGTAAGAATCTTAGTCTCAAAACCTACACACAGCCACAGTAATCAAAAGATCTTTATAAAAGTATAGTGACAGAAACACAGAACAGTGGAATAAGATGAAGAGTCCAGAAGTAAATCCATCCAGCTATGAAGAGCTGAACTTTAACAAAGAGATAATATTCATTAAGTGAGGAGAAGACAGCCTTTGTAATAAAGAGTGCTTAAAAAAGTCTAAATAAACTATGTACATTTATACAATGGCGAACAATGCAACATTTAAAAAATCAATGAAGAATAAATGAAAAACTGCATAACATGGTAGCCTCCATGATTCTAAGTAAGATAAATCAGTCACAGAAGAACAAATAGTGTACAGGACCACTGTTATAAAAAGCTCAGGAAAGGTTTGTACACAGAATCATTGTTGGATGGTTATTAGGGATGAGAAAAGAGGGTGATGATAGTAAATACTAACAAATTGTTGTTGTTATGTGCCATCGAGTCGTTTCCGACTCATAGCGACCCTATGCAGAACAGCTCTAAACCCTGCCCTATCCTGCGCCAACCGCACCGCCTCCGACACACCCATCCCGATTACCCCAGTCACCGAATCAATCCATCTCATAGAGGGTCTTCCC